ATATCCTCTTCACAGCTTTCTAGTGTTTCTCTGGGATCTTGATTATATCTTGACAAATTACTTATTGCAAAAGCTAAGCTTGGCCTTGTGCCTGTTGCTAAGTACATCAACGAACCTAATACTTCTTGATATTTTGTCTTAAAAACAGGTGGCGAAGATGCTTTGCCATCCAGATTTTCACGCAATATTCCTGGAGTCTTAACAGGTTTACATTCATCCATTTCAAAGTTTTTTAAGATTTTAGTTATATAGTTTTCTGGACTGAGTGTAAGTTTTCCAAATTATTGCCGGATGTCTGTTCCTAAAATTTTTTGTGTTTTAGTGACTTCTCGTAATGTGAACGATTTAGATATTTGAGAGATGATGTCATGTATCTCAGATTCGAATTAAAAACTAATTCGAATTTCCAATCACCATTAAGTCATCCACGTATGCTGCTATGATCAGATAGTTGACCTTATCTTTATAAATATAAACACATGGATCTGACTTTAGTTAAATTTCGTTCCTTAAGAACTTTACATAATTCATCATACCAGCATTTTCCTGATTGTGGTAATCAATATATAATTTTGTTTACAAGATATATTTTATTCGGATCTGATATAAATCCAGGTGGCTGTTCCATGTAAATTGGTTTATCGAAGTATCCATTTAAATATGCAGTTTTTACATCAAAAAATCTTATTTTGTAGTTTTTGTAAACTGCAATCGATAACAATGTTCTAAAGGTTGCAAGTCTCATTACTGGATTGGTTGGTTTTTTTGTAGTAAAACAGCTCCTAATTCTTCAGAACGTGCATTTACTGAAAGAATTACATTCGTATTAATATCACAGAATTTTAGTATGGGTGCTTTTACAACTAGTTAAGTGTTTTGAAAGCTTTCTGATGTTTCTCAGAGCAGTGCCAGAGAAACTTTTTCTCAAGCTTCTGTCTTAATGGTGTATTAATAGTAGTTAGTTAGAAATAAATTTGGCTATGCAATTAATCATGCCTATAAATCTTTGTAAAGAAGGCACATCTGCAGGTTCTCGCATTTTATCAATCGCTTCCACTTTATTAAAATCTGGTTTCAACCCATTTCCACTTAACTCATGCCCTATATAATTATTCTTTGATTAATTTTTATTTTAAACTTCGCCTTATTGAACTTCAGATTATTTTCTCGTACTCTGTGGAGTACATTTTAAGTTGTAGGTCATGTTCCTGTTCATTATCTCCCCATATTGAGAAATCATGTGTAGTGCATTAAATACCTTCTAGATCTTCTTCTATTATTAGGTTTAATTTTGTTTGGCGAATTTCTGAAGCTGACATATGCCAAATAGTAATAATTTAAATTTGTATCTGCCACAACGTGGATTGAATGTACACAAATTTTTACTTTCTTCGTCAAGCTGGATTTGCCAAAAAACACTATTAGCATCTAAAAGAGAAAGTACCTTTGCGTTTGGCATTGTGGTGACAACTTCATCTATGGTTATCATAAGGTAATGTTCTTCTTTTATAGCATTATTTAAATCTCTATGGTCTAAACACATGCGTTTTTTGTTAGGTTTGACAACAGTGACCATTGAATTTACCCATTGAGTTGGTTCTCTTTACTTTCTCAATAACGTTTAAATTTTCGATTCTTTGTAATTCTGTTTTCAGTTTATCTCATATAGCTATGTCTGTCTTTCTTGGAGGATAAATTACTGGTGTTGCATCGTGTTTTAACTGTATTTTATAGACTCCATTCAAACAGCCTCAGCCTTCAAATACATTTTTGTATTCCTCCAGTAAGTTTTCAGTATATACATGTAATGATATTTTAAAATCAGTTGATTAAATTAAATTCTAATCATATTGCTTATTAATGTGTTGCCGATTTTCTACGTAAATTGCATCCCTGTTCCTAAATTTTGCGAAATCCTGTGTTTATTATAAATTATATTAACCTGTTGGCGTCCACCAAATCGCCAAACTCGTAAATCTGTCATGTTACATAAAGTCTTTAAGAACACTCCTGATGAGAAAATAACATCACCTCGTGATAACAATTAATATCGCTGACTGGATGAGCAGCATGACGCAGACATATCTATAAATAGGGCTTCTCCTCGAGGTACAGGAGAAATGCTTGTTAGATGGATGTTAAAATAAACGTATCACATTATATTCCCAAATTTGTCTCATTCCTGTTGCCCCGGCTGCACAACACAAATAATGTACGAGATTCTACATTTCATACATACATTACGTTTTGAATCAAACATAGTTGCAGACATAATTTTTAATCCTAATATAGAAGGTACTTCTTTGTCAGTAACTTAGTATTCTACAATATATAATTATTTTTTTCAATATTGGGATATATTTTCCATATCCAATTATTTTTTCCATTTCATTAATTTCAACAGTCTCTTTGTTATCTACACTAATGTTAAATGTACCTAGAAAAATTCTAACTCTTCCTCAGAGTCATGATTTATTAATTTAATTTGTTTACCTTGACTCCTTCATTTTTTATTTTATTGCTTTTACACTTATTTGCAAAATGATTTGCCTTTTTACTCTTATGACAGATTTTTCTATGTGCTGGACACTTTAGATACTCATGAGGTCTTCCACATTTCGAACAAACTTTTATATCTTGTTTCTCATTAGTTACCTATATGAATGTATTCTTGTTATGTTTACTTAGTTTCTTTTTCGCTAATTTTACAACTGTTTCCTCGTAGTTTACGATTTTGATTTGATGTGTACTTATTTTTGCAGATCTGCATATATCTAGAGCTTTTTCTAGTGTTAAATTTTCATATAATATTCTTGCTCTCACTAGATTATCTTTAATAGCACAAGCAATTTTATCCTTTATTAGACTGTCCGTTAACTGTGCAAACGCACTTGTTCTAGCTTTATTTCCAAGGTCATTTACATACTCATCTATGGTTTCTGACACAGTTTGATTTATAGTAAAGAATAAATATCCTTCATATTTAATTTTTTCTTAGGTATACAAAAATTCTGCAAATTGTTTCTTAATATAATTTAATTTAATTTCTTCACCTTCTTCTGTAGGAAATGTATTATGTCTTTCAAGACTGTAAATTCCTATTTCATGAAAAAAAAAGTATTAACTCTTACCTTCTCTTCATTGTTATGTAATCCACTGGCTACTTCATATATTTCGAATGATTGCAGCCATCTTTGTAAGTTTGAAGCACAATTTCCATCAAATTTTTTCGTCTCTGGAGGTTTTAAACTTTTGAATTTGAAAGGAAAACATTCCTAACACCATATAAAATTAAGAGGGTGCACTTTTAACATTTAAACTAATTATTTATAATCATAGGATATTATATATTTTAACGAACTGCAACACCAGCATAGTTCTATTTTTTACATGTACCCAAAAGTGTCACCAATCACAAGTTATAAAATAATAAATGTGTCTATTTACAAATTATTACATATTAAATGTTACGTTCCTCACTTATCATTTAATGTCTCGAAATTAGTATAATTGTTTAATTTTACTGATAATCCTATGATCATATAAATTTATTTCCTAAACTTGAGTGTAATATTGTCAAGACTTTGAAAAGCCACCATATCGAATAATTGCAATTTTATGCATTATGCAATCTTTTATTTATTCTGCGTAACATTATTTAATTATTGATATTAATATCAGTAGTCTTTGCAGAGATAAATACTTAAGTTTGAATGAAGTTTTGGTTCAGAGTTATCCGTATTGATGATGAAATCGTTTAATGGACAATGAAATTAATAGTAATTTCCTGGAGGGGGCTAATCTTAAATTGCTCCTTATCTAATAATTTTTTTAAATTATTTCAGTTGGTTTCGTGATTTATTTTTTATTAGTCTTTTTCATGAGTGTTAAATCCTTTGAATGTATATGACATTCCATAATATTTATGAATTTAAGCAAGGTAATATGCATGCATATTGAAATATGCCTAAACTATTGAGCTGCAGCCATACTTTAATTTTAATACAGAATCTAGTTCTTTCTGCACCATTTTGTGAGCAAACCCTTGAACACTTCGAGTGTAACATTGCCTGTTGCTTATAACAAGTGTAAGTTATTTGCTGTTTTATTTTAATTATTAATTTATTTTGTTTATTGTTCATATATAAAATATCAAAAAGGGTAAGATAAAATAAGAATTTTAATTTGAAAGTATTCTTCAATTTCCATTTTAAATCCAAAATAAATTGCTTTGAACAGCATAATGGTAGTTATGGAAGAATGTTTAGCTTTTGATTGTTTTCCAGGATTGATATGAATTAATTAGAGGATGTAATTAATTATCGTGTACGTACATCTGAAAGTTTGAACTTCTGCTTTGAGCAATCGATTTTGATCTTACAAATTAAAAATTTATGATGGGAACATAAAGCAACTCTGATGAGTAGAGATAAAGTATAATATATTTTATTTGGAGGTTGCGCTAGAATAATATGATATAGATTAATTTTATGCACTTTAGAATGATTTAGTGAGAAAGTGAGTCGTTTATTACGTATAGTGTAAAAATGGGATTTATGTAATTAGAAAAGGCTTAATTTGATCTACTTAAAGAACGCTTTACTTAATATTATTTTATAGTATGTAGGCTGTGTAATCAGTTAATTCTATTGTGATAGGTAGAAAAATTATTTTGATATGCCTTGAAATTACTAGCATCAAAAGTAACAAATGTAGTCATGATAGAATATGTAATATATTTATTAATATGTGTATTTATAGAATAATATTTAGTCTGTCTGAAAAAGCAAAACAAAAACATGCAAATAACATTAGTGATTGATAGGCATTCACCTATCGCAAAACCTGAACTTTGCTAAATTTCACGTATTTTTTAAATTTAAGAAAGTGCATATAGGTGTTTAATTGTAGTTTAAAAAATTGGTGCTTGTATTTAAATATCCTGTGTGCTAATCAGTTTATCATTATGTATTTTAATGTGTTCGTTTTTGTTTATGTAGTTGTAAAAGAAGAAAATGTTCTAAATCACTGTGATTTTGTGAAGATCAGGATTTTGGGCAATATATATGGTATGTTTAATCCTTTTATTTTTGTCTGTGATTTCCTCTTAGAAAGATGATAAATTGTTAAAATGTTTATTTATTTATTTTATTTTATTGTTGTTCTTTCTATGAAATGTTTTTTGTTTTATCTATTGATTGTTTTGATAATAATTAATAATCCATTGAAGCAAAGTTCAAAAACCTAATTAATGGTTTTTTGAGTAACAACTATTAATTTTTTGTGCAAACATAGCAAAACTACCTTGTTATTTCCTGGTAATACTTATGAATAATAACAGGTATTTTACAAGATGTTGTGGTGATGTATTAAACCTTGTTGTTTCCCCCTTAGGATACTTTCAATGAGGCATTCAAAGCAGGCTGTTATGCAAATCTTCACCTATCATTTAATGTCTGGAAATTAATATAATTGTTTAGCTTTAGTAACAATCCTGTTGACAGAAAATTGGAATGTATCCAAGGTAATTTTCCTGAGAAAGTCTTTCAAGACTGCATACCTACCCTTAGGCAGTTAGCCTTAAGTGGGCTTTCTCATAACCAAACTGCAGAAAATTGAGTAAATTAATTATACAATTTCATTGTTACACTCTTCCTTGTGCTTTTGGGAATTATATACAGCAGTTTATTTTGTTCCCCTACCATGATTCTTCAACACAATTTCTTTGTTTTAAACACATAAGGATGCATCTAAAAGTTAAGCCATTAGCCTTTAAATGTAGAAATATGTATTTAAAAATTAATGGCTATTATGGTTAATAGTTTATTCTGTATGATATATTGCATTTTAGAAGAAAGATGAAACTGCTTCACTTTCTATCTTTTTTGGTATTTAAATGCTGACCTTGAAAATGTTTTTAATCTGTTCTTCAGCTGTGAATAGTTTTGAAGTAATTAAACCATCCTCCCAGTTTACATATTTGTTCAGAGTAATATCTTTTTCCTAAAGATAACTATCCTTGTCATCTATAATTGGAATTTCATTGTCCCCTTCATTATCAATGATTCAAGTATCTGGTAATTTAGTGAAATCTGTTCCAACTTTATACTATGGTAATTTAGGAACTTTGTGTGGTATCATAGGCTCTCTTATGTTTTTGCTCTGGTATTCATTACGTATAGCGCATTTTGAAATTTTATCTTCTATTTGCTTGTTCATAAGTGGCCAAAACAAAACTTCTCTAGCTCCTTCTGTACATTTTCTACATACATTCACGACATTTCTGTACATACATTCATGAGGACCTTCATGAATTCAATTTAGGGACCCTCATGACCAAAATGACCCTCATGAATTCAATTTAGGGTCTCCTTTTGCATAGGTAAAGGAATAATTACCCTTCCTGCTTTGAAAAATAAGGTTAATATTTGGCTATGCATCATGAGATTGGTGACTAAACACAAGTTGTTCTGCTAAATTGTATCTTGCTTCTATCGCACACTGAGATAATTAAGCCTGAGTTGTATTACGGTTATTTATTATACTTTCACCTATTTCTTGTAGATGCTTCAGTCTTATCTGAGTCTTGAATAAATCAATTCCCACATATACATAAGGCTTTTTGAGGGCCAACGCTAGATATCTTACTGCCTAATGCAATCTCTGTGGGTCCTAAAATCTGCTGCCCAGTATAGGCCTCTGGTGCCGGTTCTGCATTTATGTGAATAAGAATTCAATTATTCTTAATTCAAACAGCATTAAATTTAATCTTTTAGCATATGAGTATCATTATCAAAAATTTTTTTTAGCATATGAAAATCTTTGTTAAATTTTTCTTGTCAACAATTTTAAGCATGCATATGTTATTGCCAAGCTTAATGTCAACATAAAATGTTACCATACTCTTTGTTATTCAATTACTAATACACACAAAAAAAAAAATTGTTTAGGCATCACTACATGAGTCATTACTGAATACTGTCATGCATTGTTAAGCATGCGGTGATGAAAGCAAAATGTAATAAATAATGATTCATCAGTTTGGTATCAGTGATATAAAATATTGATAGGTGTAGTAAAATCAATGATGCATGTATGTAGAATGTTAGGGGTTGAGATGTATTCCAAATCAGATGCTCAGTTACGGAGCCAATTTACTGATCGTACAAATTTATAACAAAATAATTTTTTCTTAAATATTGAGGTATTTTATATAAAGCCAAAGTGAAATTAATCAGGACTCCACATTTTTTATTTTACCAGGGGGAGAGGAAATCAAATGTGCATGCGTAAAGCATACACACATGCTAATGAATAAATAAAACGTTGGTGCTGGCTTTGAGGTCCAGATTTTACATCATTCTGGATAATGTCCAGATCTTGGGCTTCGTACTGTATGTATGTATATATATATATATGTGTGTGTGTGTGTGTGTGTATGTAATATTGTGCTAAATAGGCACAGGAATGATGACACTTGGCATCAGAATCCGGACATTGTTATGGCTGAGTGGCATATTGCTTACAACTAGTGTAAGTTATTTGCTACTTAATTTTAATTATTAATTTATTTTGTTTTTTTTTTTTTGTTTTATATATAAAATATAAAGAAGGGTAGGATAAAGTAGTAATTTTAATTTGAAACTATCCTTCAATTTTCTTGTTATAATAAATTGTTCTGAACAGCATAATTATAGTTATGCAAGAATGTTTAGATTTTTATTGTCTTCCGGGATCGATATGAATTAATTAGATGGAGTAATTAATTATATTTTACTTACATCTGAAAGCTTCAACTTCTGCTTTAAGCAATTGATTTCGATCTGATCATTTAAAAAATTATGATGGAAACATAAAGCAGCATTGATGAGTACAGATAATATATAACACATTTTATTTTGAGTTTGTGCTAGAATATTATGATATAGATTAATTTTATGCACTTCAGAATGATTTAGTGAGAAACATACAAACATTCAGTGTTTGAAATGCCTTTTGTAGACAAAAAGTTTTAGAAAATGAACATAAACATTACTATACAATATGTATATATGTACTATACAATATGTACATTTGTAAAATATTGTAAGTTTACATTTAATTTGATAATGCTACTTAGTGTAATAACTGTAATAGACAGGAAGCGAATTATCGTTATGTCTGAAGAAGTTTAAAGAATGTCTGTAGAAGGTTAACAATATCCTGTGTATTTGAACAGAATTTAGAATACAAGGGCAGTCTCTTCTGCTAAAATTTCCACAACTCATGTGGATGGAGAATAAAAAAGAACAGTTTATATTAAATCCAACATTCAACAGTAGTCAAGTACTACGTAATTAGATATTACTAGAAGTTGGATCATTAACTCTACAGGAGCATAAAAGTTAAAGTGTCGGCAGCGAGAAACCACAACAGCAAATAATCAAAACTTCAAATACAACAAAACTTCAATTTAAGTACTTATTTCAAAACTTCAAAACTTCAGTTTAAATACTTATTACAAATGTGCATTTTTGTGAGGAAGTTAAAAAGGAGGAATTATAGTAAGGGCTGAAATTATAAATAATTCTGTAATTAACGTAACTTTATCTACATTCTCTCCCACCCAAATTAAAGTATTTTATCAACTAAAACTTGATTCAACTTTTACAATCATGAAGTTAAATATCTAAGCCAAAATTAAAATTTTTTCAAAAGTTAAAAATTTTTTTGAACCGATATTTGGTTCATCTGAGTTTATTTCAATCTCATCTTCCAGGCATATTGAATTAAAGATAGTTTAGCAAACAAGCATGTAACATTTGTACATTGCGCTGGCCCTTTACAAAAAACTTTATAAATTTTTGTTTCTTTTGAACTCAGTTTCTCATCTGTGTTCTCCAACATAATAATGTATGCCAGTGTATGTGAAAATGTGCAAAAATTTTAACAACTACCTGCTAACCAAAATATTACATGATAATCACTTAAATACACTAGACCTCAACAATGCCCCATTTCGAAACTATATTTAATGTTTTAACCTTAATTTTCATTAAATTTTATAACATTACCTGGAGAGTAACTTTTAACTATTTAAATTCACTATGCTATTTTTTACTTCAAATCCTTATCACCTGTTAATGTGTGGTTAAAATTTATCATACACAATATAAGAAGACTTAACTTTTACAAAACAGATAGCAAAATTAAAATTTTTTAAAAAAAAAAAAAAAAATTTACATTTGAATGATAACAAGTTTTCATTTTACATCACAATGTACATAAGTTAATATCTGTTCTGCATTTGTGCCAGAATTTTCCCATGCAGTGAATTGTCCTAAAATCATAATATATTTGTACTAAAAATAAAAATTCTTGAAGATGAACGCATGACTAAATAGGAAATGGTGTAAAAATGGGATTTATGTGATTAGAAAAAGCTTAATTTGATCTACTTAAAGAAAGCTTTACTTAATATTGCCTTATAGTATGTAGGTTATAAGATGTTTAATCAGTTTATTCAATTCTCATAGATAGGAAATAATTTGATATTCCTTGAAATTACTAGCATCAAAAGTGATAAATGTAGTCATGATAGAATATGTAATATTTTTTTTAATATGTGTATTTATAGAATGATATTAAATCTGTTTGAAAAGGCAAAACAAAAATATGCAAATAAGATTAGTGATTGATAGGCATTCACCTATTACAAAACCTGAACTTTGCTAAATTTTACATATATTCTAAATTCAAGAAAGTGCATATAGATGTTTAATTGTAGTTTAAAAAAGCTGATGCTTCTAATTAAATATTCTGTATGCTAATCAGTTTATCATGATGTATTAATGTGTTCCTTTTTGATTATGTAGTTGTATGAGAAGAAAATATTCTAAATCAATATCTTTTTGTGAAGATCAGGATTTGGGACAATATGTATGGTATGTTTAATTCTATTATTTTCCTCTCTGGTTTCTTCTTATAAAGGTGATAAATTGTTAAAATGTTCATTATTCCTTTTGTTTGCATTGTTCTCTCAGAATTTAGAAATAAAAATTCGTGTTTCCTCCTTCAGAATCATCACTATTATCAAATCTATAATGTCCGATCCCTAAATTGTGAAATTTATGCATCATGAATGGAAACATGATCTTGATTTGTATCGTTCTCTGATTATTTTCTGCAGTAATGTTCTAAAGATCAGATAGAATTGCTCTTCAAAATTATTATCTTGTTATTTTTTTTTAGAAAAATCTATTATGGAAATTTTCTCTTTTCTATTTTTAAATTTATTTGACTAAATCAATTCTATGCATTTACAAAATTTAATAGCAAAATTTTTTTAAAGTTAATAACGTGCAGATATGTAATATATTGAGTCTTTCTGGTAAAATCTCAGTACCGAAACCCTATATTATTATTTGGTTTAACAATCACTGAACATATTTGTGCTTATGATATTTGATAAATCAAACAGGACGAAAATGGCATGTAATCAAAGTGATGATTATAGCAAAAGAACAAATTTATTGACAGTAATTAACTACATTCAGATCTAATACATGCTATGGCATGTTGCTGAATCCAGATTGCCAAGAGCCAGTTTTTCACTATATCCAATACGTGGGGCTGTATTCTAACTTAACATGCAACCGCCCATTGAAATTCCAAATTTCAATATGTAAATTATAAACACACATACAATTTAATAATTCAAGAACAACTAATTCTACAGTACAAATATGAAAGCTAATAGGTAATTTCATCATGAATATAATATCAAATAATATTTACATTTTAAGAATAAATTTACATTTACTAATACATCGAATATACACACCTTTTGATGTTTTCACTTTAACAACTCTGTTGTTATTATCTTTACCAGGTAAAACATCCAGAATTCTAGCTAAAGACCATTGAAATGGGGGAAGAATATTTTCCTTTAACACAACTAGCAAACCTGCTTTTAAATTTTCTTTATTAATAAACCATTTGGTGCATTGTTGGAGATGATTCAAGTAATCAGTTTGCCAACATTTCTAAATATCTTGAAAGAACCTAGTAATAATCTGCCATTTAGAAAGTCTATTATCTGTAAGATGAAACAAATCCGGTTTCAGGATATGAAGTAATGGAACGTCAAATTAAAAAAATGGCCCAGCATTAAGGATTAAAAGTCATTTGCATCTGTTTATAAAGGTAAAATTTCACGGCAATTGAGAATACCTTCAATGTGTGTGACAACAGTCCAAAATTTTCCAGTTTTGAACCGTTTTCTTAGATCTTTTCTGACCTTCATCTGATATGCATACCTTTTTTGTAAGTATTTGGCATCAATGATGTCTAGATCTGAAATGCCACTTTCTTTGAGATCATGAAAAAACATTGCAGGTGTCAAGGGTTTCAGTTCCAAATCCTCAGAAACATCAGTTAATGGTTTGCAATTTAAGATATTTTCGCATTCACAGAGGATCTTAGAGAGTTCTTCATATTTCAGTGAGGCATTACCTAAAACTGCAGTTATCAATACTCCTTTTTATACAGGCTGTAACTCTAATTATTTTCTCAAAAGAAGAAATTCGTAAGAAATGCGAAAATCCTTCATCTACATTTGTTAAGAAGGATACAACTGTTTTTCTTATTTCTCAATCAATCATATCTTTGTCAGGAGAAATATCACAAGTAGGCCAAGAGTCTGGATTCAGCTGCAACCATGCTGGACCTTCATGCCATCTTTTGGCTTTAATAGTTTCAACAGAACATTCTCTTGATGGAATATCTGCAGGATTCAAGTTTCCAGGAACATAATTCCATGTATCGGGATTAGTAAGGACTCGTATTTCTTTTACTCTGTTCATAGCAAATGCACCCAAATTTTCTTCATTCTTAATCCAGTACAATGTGTTCCTTGAATCTGTCCAATAAAGCATAGGTATATTTTCTTCTGTCAAATCTTGTTTTATAGATTTCATGAATCTTGCACCAACGACACAAGCTAATAATTCTAGTTTACAAATTGTTGTGGGTTGTAGAAGAGCAACTCTAGATCGTGCTTGAACAAAATGACAAAAAACTTTAGTTTCATTTTCATTTCTTAAATAAACGCAAGTTGCAGATGCCATTCGGGATCCATCACAAAATATATGAAAGTATAATTTCAATTCAGAATCAATATTAAGCATCATCTGTTGGGAAATTTTTATTTTTGTTAAACGATTTGCATCATTTTTCTATTTCATGTACAGTCAAAAGTCATTAATCCGAACTCGTCGGGACTTTGGCGATTCCGGATTATCGATTTTTCCAGATTATAGATCATCAGTATAAATCTGGTAAGATGGCATGCAGAAATTATAAAATTAAAAATATGAAACCGTAATTAATGAAATAAAGAACAATTATGATCTAAATGGTATCAAAATTTACCAAAAAAAAAAAAAAAAAGCTTGATATTTATTTGTTTACTTTATTAAACATTTCTTTCATTGTAAGTTGTTTAAGTTGCTTTGTTTTATGCGATAATACTTTCTCTTTAATTCTATAAACAGACATAATTTTTTCTTCAGTTACAAAGTTCCGATGTTTAAGTCTTATAATTGCTGTGTTGAGAATACCGACTAATTTTGTCAATCGAAATTTTTTCGTTTTCAATAACCTCTGTGTCACTTTCTTCACTATCAGAAGCAAATTATAATGACGAGAAATTTGATTTAAATCATATCAAAGATGGAGTGTATCGAGATGAAATACTACATTTAGTAAGGAATTATAAGCCAAATAAAAGAAAAACATCTGCCCTGAAGATAAGGATAGTGCTGACAGATCAACTTCCAACTCATTGCGCGCCGTGTCATTTCCCCCACCCACCCGCCTGCCCGCCGCAGATCAGCATGAAATTGATAAACAGATTTCGGAATGGTTAGAGAAACGAAGGATTATGCCTTTATCCATTTTTTGCAGCAATTCCACTTTTTGTTTAATGTACTTCGAAACATACTTTCTCTTTGTGGATCCTTTACATATTATTAAATATATATCGAAAATTCTATTTGACATAATTGAAAGTTCAAGCTTACTTTTATAAAATTGCTGTAACAGTCTGCGAAAAATAATAAGCCGGATCCAATTCGAAGATTTAGGAACAACGCAATCTGCAAACTTAACTGAATTAGATAATTTTAGCTTAGCTTATACCGTCCGTTATACATTAAATGCGCATGCGCACACGCATATTCGCAGCCGTAAAGGTCTTACGCACATGCGTCAACAGGTTTGTAGCTTTGAGGTCCGGATTATAGATCATTCCGGATTATGGGTGTCTGAATTAATGACTTTTGACTGTGTTTCCTTTGAATTTCTTCAGGAAGTGCTTCATCCCAAGTTACTCTTAATTCCCAGCAGTTTTGTAACAGAATTTTAGGAATTAAAATTATAGGGCAGGTGAATCCAATAGGGTCAAAACTTTTATGAATTTCAGACAAAATTGTTCTTTTAGTAACAGGTTTATTTTTCAATTGATTTAATCCCTTAATATCATGACTTAATGTGTCATCATGCTAATCCAAAAGAAGTCTCAAAATGTTGACCGTTTTAGCTTTGCAAGGGTCATCTAAAAACTCATTCTCATTTAATTTATCAAGCTTCGACTGTTCTGTAATGGATTCAACAACAAAGGCATCCCTTTCATTTCAAGGATAGTTATATGCCCACTCTTGTAATTCAAATTTAGCACTTGCCAAAAATTAAGAGGCATCATAGTTCTTACGGATCCATTAAAAACCGGTCTTATTTTTGTTGTGGTGGAATTCATTCGAATAACAGCACGGTGAGGTAAATAATGAGATGGGTTATTAACTTCGGCCTCAGAAACAATCTCTATTATTTTCTCATCTTCCCAAGATTTAAAAATTGCCTCATAATCTTATAAAAAAAAAACCCATTTTTTAAATTCTTTACAGTGATCTTTAATATTTTTTCTGTTATTTCCCGATAGTTTGGTAGTGGGGAAGGATTTTCTATCCAAGGTAAACAAACTTGAAACCTTCCTTCTTCATCTCTTTTCACATTAGAAAGAAAATGTGTCATTGTTTTTTTTTTTTTTTTTTTTTTTTTTTTTTTTTTTTTTTTTTTTTTTTTTCACTAATCCCCTTTTAGTTTGACTTTCTGAAGGATCTAATATTCCAAGAGTATCAAGTTTCCATAAATCAGAAATTTTACTATCTGATACTAGCATAGAAAATGCATAAGAATAATCATATTTATTTTCCATTTCTATAGGAATTTTCCCCATGATACTCCAGCCTAAATAATTTTCGGTGCAAACTTAACCACATTCTAACTTCTTTATTTTCCCTGTAAACAATTTTCCCGCTATGTCCGCACCTATGAAGATATGAATTTCAGAAGGAGAATGCTCGAACAACAATTTTTTATGCCTACCTTCAACATCATTCAAAAATGTGTTATGGGTTTTTAACTAATTTAAATAAGGCTTGATGTTAAATTGTGGAATATCATAACAAATTTTCACTTGATCAAAAGCTTTAAAATTACATTGATAATCGTTTGTAATACTACTTAAGCGTACAATGAACTGTTTATGAGTTTTAACCACTTTGGTTCCTCTGAACAGGCTATGAATCACACTGCTTTCGTTAATACATTCGTACTGCATAGCATTAGCTAAAAATTCAGATACATAGCTTCGTTAACTCCCAGAATCAGTTAAAAACCGGCAATATTTTTCTGGACCATTTCCACGCACTTTTACTACTAAATTTTGTAATAAAACTTTAACTAAACATGTTTTGTTTGTTAAATTGACATCCTTCTTATTTGATTTTTTCTGATCTAAACCATTTCTGTTACAGATTAAGATATTGTGTTTCCAATCACATGAATCACACTGTATGTTCGAAAAGCAATTTTTCATCAAATG